GACAAGCCAAACAATTGGGCCTAAATTTAAGTTGAAACTAATTTTTTTGAGTAGCATTTGGGTATCCATAAGCTGATTTTTACACTGCAACTTTTTTGAAACCCTGGGTTATTGTACTTGCTTACATATTTTAAATACTGTCACTTCAAAAACACAGCACTTACATAATCATTCTAGTTTACATACTTGTTATATCGACTAGGTGAGCTCATGCTATATCGCATAACGTAACTGAGCGATTTGTACTGTACTAACAAAAGGTTTCTGTCAACACCATCAACACTGAGACCAAACTGAAAATCTGTGATGCAACATGTTTGTTGTAATTTAAAGCAGGTAAGTGAATTAACAAGAAACAGTTTAGTTTTGAGCACATTTGTGTTGGGTTTAACATGTGACTCAACAGATTTGAAGATATTCATGTTTACATTGAAGTTTTCTTGATCATTTTCAAATCATTCTTGAGAAAATGATCATCAGGTTTACCACAAACTCGTGGAGCTCATGCAGCATTTTACTCAAGGTTTTTGTTAATGTACTTTATCACTAAACTAAATTGGATAAATGTAAAGCATGCATTTTCCTTAGTGAAATGGTCTGAAATATTTAGACCCCGACGTCTCTGAACACTATTTAGCAGTAGCATGTTTTCCAGAATATGTCAAATGGTATAATAGTTGATTTGTTGGTATAATTTAATGTGCACTTTGATAGATACACCTGTCCAACTGCTCGTTAATGCAAATTTCTAATCAGCCTATCACATGACAGCAACTCAAATTACATGATCAAGATGATCTGCTGCAGCCAAGCTTCAGAATGGGGAAGAAAGTTGATTTAAGTGACTTTAAACATGATATGGTTGTTGGAGCAAGACAGGCTGGTCTAAGTATTTCAGAAACTGCTGATCTTCTAGGATTTTTACACACAACCATCTCAAAGGTTTACAGAGAATAGTCTGAATGAGTCTCGATTTCTGCTGTGACATTATTGTAGGATAACGCACCCTGTCATAAAGCGTGTATCATATCAGACTGGTTGTTTGAACTTGACAATGTGTTCACTGTACTCAAATGGCCTCCACAGTCACCAGAACTCAATCCAATAGAGCATCTTTGCAATATTTTCAGTACCTTGTTGAATCTATGCCATGAAGGATTAGGCAGTTCTGATGGCCAAAGTGTGTCCAACCTGGTACTAGTAGGGTGTACCTAATAAAGTGGCCAGGGAATCAATTTCTGGCTTGAAAAAAACATTTAGTTTAGACCATTTCTAGGTAACATTTTTCGGTGTGGCATGTTCACAGGAAGCGGGATAACAGGAAACTCAGTTCCATGCAACAAGAAATTGCTACATCATAACATAGAATTTTCTGACTAATACAGTGTCTGTCTGAACCATAACGAGAGTCCTGAAAGTCACACATTCTGTTGAACTGTTCCTTAGAAGAAAGGGGAAGCTAAAGTGAACTGTACTTGCATTTCATTACTGATGGGTGTTAAGCAACATTTTCTGCATCTCATGCTAATTTTTTTTTTAATGTGTAATAATGAGTAGGCATTTGTAAATCAATCCAAAAAAACTATATGTTGCCATTTGTTGCGTAGCCTACAACACTGGTGCAAAAGCAACAGGTCCTCACTCCTCATTCGTCTAAAGCCGCAGTCACACTGCACTTTTCGCCCCATAGACTTCCATTTATACGTATGCATATGCAGCAGTCCAGAACCTGGTTTGAAAGTTCAAGCTTGGTGAACTCTGACCTGCGAAATCGTATCACATGATTGTGTGAGACCAATAGAATCTCTGTACCTAAATTTAAAATATGGAGAAATTGCTCACTTCATCAATCTCTTATTGTTTTATACCACTCTTTCCCGCAGTGCCATACAATCGTGGCTTTAACCTTGACTGTCCACAAACCAACAGCAGAGAACTTCTGCTTTTTACCTGTTGAGTTAATAAAATCAACTGTTCCCAATGCATCCGGATAATTTGGGAATTATCATTTTTTGATAAAGCTGCCGTCACACTGCACTTTCCCCCATAGACTTCCATTCATACACACGTGAATGCGTCAGACCAGAAACGCAAGGTTGGCAGCAGGTTTTGCAGTTCGCTGCGTTGGAAAGTTCAAGCTTGGTGAACTCTGACCTGCAAAATCGCATCACATGATTGCGTGAGACCAATCGAAGATCAAAACATGTCCTCTCTGGACACGAATTTAAAACATGGACCAATTGTTCACTTTTTAAATGTCTAATCATCTTGTTTAATATCGCCCCTTTTCGCAGCACTGTGCAACAGAATTTTGCACGCACAAACTCTAGTGTGACCGCAGCATAATTTGGGATGCCAGATTACACTGATTCATTAGGGTAATCAACTCAACAGGTGGAAAGCACCTTTTTGCTGTTGGTTTGTGGACAGTCATGGCTCAAGGCTGATTGATACTTCTGCGTCAAGCCCACACTTATAGTACGGAGCAGCTGACGCGCACCTCTCAAAAGATGTAACTACACTGGCAAGGACACGTAGAACAAGCTCTGTGATTGGTTGGCTTGGTAGCACTGATGAGTCTAGGCGGGACCAATGGAGCGATAGTTTACATTGTGGAGTCTCGTGAAGGACCTCCGGATGGAAAGTTTTGTTTTGTGTTTACCTCATGGTTAAAGTTGTTGCACGTCTGCCAGTTCCTGCCACAAAATGAGCGAGTTTGAGCCACTTGTACATTCAGGAGGCATTCAGAAAAAACAAAACACCAACAAAAAAAATCGACACAGAGGAACATAAACACCTCACTGCCATCTAGCGTTTCGGAAGTGTTAATGTAGACCAAAATAAACAGCATGCAGAAGTATAAATGCACAGCCACGCGCGTTACAGGCACCGTGGGTCACGCCGATAACTTGACGCAGAAGTATAAACCAGGCTTAAAGCCACAATCGTACCACACTGCGGACATCTCTGTTTATAAATGTAATATATGAAGCAATCGCTTGCTTCGTCAGCCTCTATCACATTGTTTTATCCCACCCTTTTCTGCAGTGCCATACAATCGTGGCTTTAACCATGAATATCCACAAACCAACTGCAGAGAGCTTCTGTTTTTCACCTGGTGAGTTGATTAAAACAGCTGTTTCAATGAATTAGGGTAAGTGGGATGTTTTAGAACAGCTTTACAGAATTTTCCTATAGATTGTGACAGTTTGCAATGGGTATGAATCATTTTGGATATTCCACATTTTATTCAAATGTAAATAAAAGCTTAGAAATATTAGTTTTTTTTACCACAATGATGCCTCTTGTACATTGTCTTATTATCTTTTGGGAGAAGCCTGTGTCATTTCCCATAAAAAAAAACCTGCTGGATGAATAAAACTGAGCCAAGGGAGTTATGGAGTCAGCTACTCATGTATTAACTTAGCTACAATGTTTAGTAGCTTGACAGTTGCTCAGCTATATCTGATACAATGTAGCTTCTTTTCCAGAGGCTAGCTACTTTTTCCAGCAAGTAGCAAAGTAGCTTGACAACAGCTACAGTTCATTTAGTGATCCTGCAACCTTCTACAGCAGTGGTTCCCAAAGTGGGGGTTAGGCCCTTTTAGAGGGTTGCTTGGTGATTTCCAAAAATCTAATTCATTTTAATAAACTATTAGAATTACCATATTTTATCCATAATGTCCAGAAGAAAAAAAATACTTTATAGTTACATAAAAAAACAATAAAAAAAACAAGCCATCAGCCTTTTGATTTTTTTTGTGACCTCTGGGGTGATTATGTTATATTAAAGACAGCACACTAATTGTATGGCACCACGTTAAACTTTCTGAAACCTTTACGGCACTCATGTACATTTAAAATAAATTCAGGCCACTACTGAACATGGAGGATAGTCTCCGAGTGGTGCTCTCCAAAATTAAATGATTAGACTTGGGCCTGTTTGGTATGTGTGCACCATTATGTGCAAGGTATATATATTTATAACCACCTCAGAGAATATTGGGGGTCACGAGTCACTGGCATTGATATTTTGGGGTCGCGGGCTGAAAAGTTTGGAAACCCCTGATCTAAAGCAGCACAGCATCATCTTACAAAATCACATACTACCATAGTGTATTGAAGCCATTCCTTTATGAATCACGCATCTCATGGATTTACATTTATTACTGTTATTTAGAAAATAATATTTTTCATGAACCAAGAGTTGAAATTCAACCCATAATTTTTTTGTAACAATTCACAATTAACATGAAGGACGTTGTGTGATGGCTTCAATAGTGTCTTACCAAAATGTCACTTTTGTTACAATTAAGTTATTTTGTTATTGTAATGTTTCAGTTGTTGCAGTTTTTCAGTCTGACTCTTGACAGTCGTAAGAGATTTTAAAACTGTGCAAGAATACATAAAGCTTTGAAATCATAATTGTATTGTACTGTTTTACGTACCATTTTTAAGTATTTTACTTTTAAACTACACTTGTTCATGTTTTTTTTTTTGTAATACACACCAGTGTTTCTCAACCACATTCCGGGGGGACCACCAGCTCTGCCTATTTACATGTCCCCTTAACCAAACACCTGATTCAGATCATCAGCAGACACTAAAAGACCTGTGGTAGGTGTGACAGACAAAGGAGACATCCAAAACATGCAGTGTTGGTGGTCTTTCAGGAACGTGGTTGAGAAACACTGTTATATGCCGTTGTTGATGTATATTTCAATATAACAAGCTACTTTCAGGAAGTAACTTGTAGTGTAGTTAGTTACTTTTTTAGTAGCGTAGTTTGACAGTAGCTTGGCTAATTTTACTGATGAGTAGCTTCCCCAAAACATGACACACTGCAGCTTTAAGCTACAGACTTGCATGTAAAAGTGCCTAATAGTGAAAGTTGAAAATGCCAAATATGGCAGCCTAGGAGCGCTACCCAGTGGCCATTATCATTACTGCACATGTGATGTGCTCCAGCTTTGATTCAGATATAAAAAACAAAAACTAACAAATCTTATATGCTGTTTATTAGCCCAACCAGCTTGCTCAATTCTTCATGCACATATCTCTCATAAACAGAACTAATTTAAATAGCAAACATGAGAATAACAATCAGGTAACTCATATGCATCTACATAAATAATAAATCACACATGCACACACAAATCATACGCATTATTAACAATTTAACTAGTAAATGAGGTGTAATTACAACATCGCAGAGTCGTATTTGTTTTCACTAGTGATTCACTAGTAGCGTAAAGCAGGAAATATTGTCAAATAAGTCAAACGTTATTAAACAAAACGATCTACCAAGTGAATGTGGGGTCTTGAAATGTTAGGATATCTACAGAGAAGACACACTGTACATGCCCGGATGAGGAACTGAGGGCAGTGTGAGGACAGGAGGGAGTTTCTAGCAGCTCTGGTGGGGTTGGGCTAATGTGATGTAGCTGTAATAATGGCCACGGGGTGAAAAGGCACTGCTGTGTAAACTGATGTCAGCGAGGATCATCGCTGTGTGTGCGTCTCATCTGCTCCGCTTGCCTCACAGCCTCCTTCAGCTCCCCTTGAGACAGCAGCCTGCAGTGGCGCAGGGCAGAGAGCAGCTGCGCCCGAGAGTTACTGATGAACGAGTGGGAAAGGAAGTAGGGGAGACCACCTCCCTTCTTCAGGAAGTAGAGCGGCACACGCACCATACCCAATACCTGGTGACACACGAGAAAGTTCATAACAGTCAGGGTTCTGGAAATTAAAAATATATTGATAGATTTTATTCATCAACAGCCCTTAAAAAATGTTACATGGCCTAAATATTTAACAGTTTTACTAACATTTAAAACTTTTTAAAAAGGATATTGCTCATCACATCTCTGCCCATAATCTGCACCAACATTAAGCAGCTGCTGAAAACCAGCGCTACTTGGGGAAAAGATAACCAAATCATCAGCATACATGTCATGATTTATTATAGTATCACCAAGCACACAGCCAGTCCTACAATCACTTAATTCCCCAGAAAACTCGTTCATGTAAACATTAAAAAGAGCAGGTGAAAGTAAACCTCCTAATCGTACTCGAATGCATCCTTTAAATGTATAAGATACAGCATTGCCCCACTTAATCCGCATACTTTGATTAGTATACCAGTAAGTAAAATTCTTAAAATACTATTGGGTATTCCTCTTTGTTTCTATTGTTTCATAGGAATTCTTTGTTGGAGCGTTATAAGTTTTGAACTCAATCAAAATAACTGAAGCAAATGATTTGAAGCAAAGGTGTTTTTTGACAAAAAGACAAAGCAACAAGACTGTGTACTTAATGGCGGTAACCAAAAAAATCCTTGCGTGTGTTTATGCAAAATTGCTCTATATTACATTATAATAAAGCTCATTTCGATTCTAATGAGGGAAAAAAATACAATCCCTTGAAAAATGGCAAATGACCCTGCTTAAAAATCCAGTTTAAACCAGCCTAGGCTGGTGGGCTGGTTTTAGCTGGTCAATCGGCCTGGTTTTAGAGGGGTTTTAGCCGCTTCCAGGCTGGTTTCCAGCCATTTCCAGGCTGGACTTAGCTGGTCAGGCTGGAAAGTAACCAGCTAAAACCAGCTTGACCAGCCTAGCCAAGCTGGGAGTCCAGCCAAAACCAGCTATATCCAGCTTAAACCAGGCTGGTCAAGCTGATTTTAGCTGGATTTGGCTGGTCATTTTCCAGTCTGACCAGCTAAGACCAGGCTGGAAAGGGCTGGAAACCAGCCTGGAAGCGGCCAAAACCCCTCTAAAACCAGGCTGGTCAACCAGCTAAAACCAGTCTAGGCTGGTTTAAGCTGGATTTTTCAGCGGGGGACAAAATTGAATTAAAGATTATGTAGGAATTCACTAACCAATATAAATTTTTGAAGTTCTGGTTACAATATTTATAATATATATTATAAAAATGTATATCCTACAAGTCAGCCTACACGGAATCTGCACGCACAGAAATCCACAGATGTTTAGCCCATCATTGAATCTATTTATTGACTTCTGTAAATTTATATTTATTCAGTTTTTCTGTTAATTTCAGTAATAATATTGACTAATATGGAAATGTTGATGACTTATTTTTCCAGAGATGGGTTGCGGCAGGAAGGGCATCCGCTGCGTAAAAACATGCTGGATAAGATGGCTGTGTATTCCGTTGTGGCAAGCCCGGATTAATAAAGGGACTAAGCCGAAAAGAAAATGAATGAATGAATGAAATGATATGATTTATTTACAAAACAGTTTGTAAAGTCATGTTTTCTGCCTTTTAGTAGATATATTACATGAGAGACTTGCTTTGCTCATTAAGTGAATCAAATTAGATTTGCGGGTGAGGCAGTGGCGCAGTAGGTAGTGCTGTCGCCTCACAGCAAGAAGGTCGCTGGGTTGAACCTCGGCTCAGTTGGTGTTTCTGTGTGGAGTTTGCATGTTCTCCCTGCGTTCGCGTGGGTTTCCTCCGGGTGCTCTGGTTTCCCCCCACAATCCAAAGACATGCGGTTCAGGTGAATTGGGTGGGCTAAATTGTCCGTAGTGTATGAGTGTGTGTGTGAAAGTGTGTGTGGATGTTTCCCAGAGATGGGTTGTGGCTGGAAGGGCATCTGCTGCGTAAAAACTTGCTGGATAAGTTGGCGGTTCATTCCGCTGTGGCGACCCTGAATTAATAAAGGGACTAAGCCGACAAATGAATGAATGAATGAATTAGATTTGCATCTTAAGCATTAAATAAAAGTTTAAAGGTATTATCTGTTTTTTTATATATTACCTTTTTAAAGTTACAATACTCCCAAAATAATTCTGCATAAATCTGCAGATTTCCACAAAATTCTGCACTGCAATAGCAAAAAAATGTCTGCAGATTCTGTCTGGCCCTGCTGATAAGTAATTGTGAGCATAGCATGTGAGGCTGCATTAATTACATCATTTGTGAATGAAAGGTGGAATTGTCTGTACAGCATAACATGGTAATGCAGCTTTTCTACATGAATTCTTCTGTTAAACATGATTATTCAAAAACAAGTTGAGCTAATGTGAGCCAATGGGTTCAAAAAAAGCATGTACAATCGATTAACAGCCTCAGAGTTCTGCCTTTCAGGTTTTTCAATTATCCTTAAAATTAAGTTCCCTAAGGAGTAGGCTTTTCCCAAAAGAGAAAATCAATTAAGTTTTTACTTACAGTATTTATTTACAGACTCAGCACCCACCATGACTGAGCACATCCTCTCAATTATGAATTTCTCAGTGAAACTTAATATATTACTGCATTTTTCTTAACTTCTTTTAGGATAAGACAAATTTGAAATTTACATCTAAATGTAATATTTTGTATGTCCTCATTAAGTTCAACTGTTAATTAAAACTTTATTCAGGTTTTCTCTGAATGCATCCATTTGAAAAAAAAGTTGTTTCTATAAATATATTAAACCAAATAAATTGTTTTGTATTTCTCCATCATTTTTATTTTTCTTCCTACTGACTCAGTATTGTGACTTTCCAGATGAAATTAAATCTTGAATAGAACAGTTTTGTTTCAGGACTTATGAAACTATTAGATCTTTTAAATTAATTTTTAAATCCCTATAGAACAAATAAAAGAAAAAATTACATGAGGAACTAACACTGCTGAAACGCAGACAGTTTTGAAACTTGTTTACACACAAAAAAAAAAGCTTTAAAGGGAAAATTAACCCCCCCCCCCTCCCCCCCAAAAATTTACTCTCCCTCAAGTGCTTCCCTACCTTTATTCATTCATTTTCCTTCGGATTTGTCCCTTATTTATCAGGGGTCGCCACAACGGAATGAACTGCCAACTAGTTCAGCATATGTTTTCACAAGCGCATGTCCTTCCAGCTACAAGCCATCACACACAGAGCCAACACCCAGAGGAAACCCATGCCATCACGAAAACATGCAAACTCTACACAGAAATGCCAACTTGTCCAGCCGGGACTTGAACCAGTGACCTTGTAGCTGTGAGGCGACAGTGCTAACCACTGAGCAACTGTGCCTCCCAACCTTTATGACTTTCTTCATTTTGTTAAACACAAAAGAAGACATTTTGAAGCACGCTCAAAACCTGTAACCACTGACTAAAATAATAAGGAAAATCAAATAATACTGAAGTCTACATGTTTCCAGATTTACACAATTTTTTTTCTTTTGTGAAAGTCGAACAGGTTTAAAATCAGTGAAGGAAGAGTATTGATGATCAAATAAAATTTTTAGGTGAACTGTCCCTTTAAAAAGACAGATAAAGAAGACAGAGAGTTAACCTCTAAACCGTGGTCAGTGGCGGAGGCTACAGCCGCTCTCTCTATCTCTTTCAGCTCTGCCTCTGTCATCTTCTTGATGTAGAAGTGTGTGATGAGACGAGGGCATGATGAAGATACACAGGAGGACATGTGATCGTCCACGCCCACCGGCACAGCCACGCCCACTTCTTCGTGTAGCTCTCTGCTAAGCCCCGCCTCCAGCGTTTCCTCGGACGGGTTCACTAACCTATAAAACAAAATACAAATGATTATAAAAGTAAAGCGCAGCTTCCACGAAGAATATATGTGCATTTACAAACAAGAAGTATTCAGAGCAGACCAGAAAGAAACCCTCACCCCCCTGGAAAGCCCAGCAAGCCATCAAAGCGCATCTGCATCTGAATGACAGTAATGTGAATTCAGGTTCATAACTTCAGGACATTCATGCAAATAGGACGACTGTTTTAGTAGCGCACCTGTCGTAGTCACTCAAGAACAGTCACAGTAGGTTACAGTTAGTGCACTAGCTCATCCTTACCAAAACAATATGTTTGATTGGGATTTTCCCGAAGAGTTTGGCACTGGAGTCTCCATACAGCATGACATGACACGCGTGTCTGTAGCCCTGACGGGCCAACGCTTCGTCCCTCGTCATCTTCTCTTCCGCCATTACAGGACTAGCGATAAATAAACAAATAAACCTGACGCTTTCTGATAAGGAAGAAACAACTCTGATAACATTTGCGTTTGCGAGCAGTAGTAACGTGCTACTATAATCACCTGACTTTATTTCAAAATAATAGTCCATTGAAAACGCAGCTCTATTCATTTTAATAGTGTTTAAGGGAGAAACTATTATTAAAATGCAATTGTTGAATGGATGGATCTTTTACGACAAACGGAAGGCATGTTTATAACAATATTTAATACTTTTTAAAACAGAATTATGGATATTAAGAATTAATTAAGCAGCTAATAGCACGTTTAATTAATTTCGAGAAGCCTTCTTAAGTAGTCTTGTGTGTGCCAGTAAATAAAAAAATAATAATTTAATGTAATTTAACAACAACCTTACTCTCATTATTATTTATTGGCCAATTTTCAATAATTAAGTTAAATTAAATCAAACGAAATTAATTAATTTATCAGTATTTAATAAATAGGTGAAATTTAATTATGCTACATTAAATACTTTATTGTCTAATAATCCATAATTAAGCAAAAGTAAAATATATAAAACTCCAAAAACTTGTAAGATAAAATTTTATAATTAATTTAAACTTAAGGTAAATATATATTTTTTTATTTTGTCAATATTTAATCATTTAATCACATAAGATTTAAGAATTCTGGAACTTATTAACTAATTAAGTGCCTACTTTTTCCCTATTCTCAAACTACATAAGTCGTCCAATAGATGGCAGTAGCAACTAAACTGTGCTGAAGATGTTATCACTAGAAAACAACATTAAGAACAGAACAGTTAGAAAGGATTTGAACATGAAAGTGTCTATGCTGAAAGAAGTGGATAAAGATTTAGTGCTTGTCTATTGTCAGTCTGAATGTATACCACCTGTTCACAGCACCGGAAATAACCTCTAATATCTAAAAAGAGTGACTTCAAAAGCAGAACCAGTTCATCTGATATAACTTTTAATACCTCCAACATGACTGTCCGTTGTTCCCTATTTTGAAATAGCTGTGGCAAAAACATAGTGTATCAGATAGAGGATTCCAAATTACTTTGCTTGAGATATTAACAGGAAAAATGGTCTATAAACGTTTACAAATACTCTTTAAAATAAACTCAATATTCTCATGTCAAACCAGGCACCATTTACTTAAGGCTGTCATTTCAGAAGTTCTGTATCAAAATATAGTGTGACATCATTTTATTCTGTTCTTTTCTATTATTGTCTATTTTATGCTACAGGGCTGTTCTGTTGTATGGTTGAATTATTTTAGTATCTGCACAGCCTACAACGCTCAAAAAATCAAAACAAAATGAACTAAAATGTTTTGGATGAGACGTGTATGAAACTAATCTTACAGACAGCAATGGTTTGAGGACCCAAATAAATAAATAAATAAAAGAAAAATACAACACCTGTACAATGTCTTAAGGTGAAGTAACCATAAGCTGAATAATTGACTCTGGTCTGTTGAATTTTTAGAAAATAATGCACACTGAGGTATCACAGCCACTTCATTTTGTTTTGCGGTGGGTGTGCATTATTTTCCAACAATTCAATATTTAGTCGAACATCATTTCTTATATATTCTATGGTGGTTTCTCAGGAAAGCACAGCAATGCATATCTGCCGAAAAATTACAAACACAATGTTAGATCAAAGGCTGCAGCTCAAACACTAAACTCAGACAAAGGTCACCTTTATTCATGGTGAAACATGTCCTATTGCGGAACATAATGAAGTAATTTAATTGTCTAAAAGGGCTTTTCTCTGTAATTATTGCACACTCACAACCCTGTTCGTGTACTCACCGGCCACTTTATTAGGTACAACTGTCCAACTGCTTTTTAACACAAATTTCTAACCAGCCAATCAAATGGCAGCAACTCAATGCATTCAGGCATGTAGACATGGTCAAGACGATGAGCTGCAGTTCAAACCGAGCATCAGAATGGAGAAGAAAGGTGATTTCAGAAAATGCTAATCTACTGGAATTTTCACACACAACTATTTCTAAGATTTGCAGAGACTGGTCCGAAAAAGAGAAAATATCTATTAAGCAGCAGTTCTGTGGGTGCAAATGCCTTGTTGATGCCAGAGGTCAGAGGAGAATGGCCAGACTGGTTCGTGTTAACAGCAGCTCAAATAACCACTTGTTACAACCGAGGTATGCAGAAGAGCATCTCTGAAGGCACAACACATCGATCCTTAAAGTGGATGGGCTACAGCAGCAGAAGACTACACTGGGTGCCACTCCTGTAAGCTAAGAACAGGAAACTGAGGCTACAACTCGCACAGGCTCAGAATTTGGTAGGGTCAGAATTTGGCATCAACAACATTACAACCTAGATCCATCCTTCCTTGTATCAACGGTTCAGGTTGGTGGTGGTGGTGTAATGGTGTGGGGGATTTATTATTTTTTTGGCTCACATTGACCCCATTAGTATCAATTGAGCACAGTGTCAACGCCACAGCCTACCTGAGTATTGTTGCTGATCATGTCCATCCCTTTATGACCACAGTGTAGCCATCTTCTGATGGCTACTTCCAGCAAGATGACGCGCCATGTCATAAAGCACGACTCATCTCAGACTGGTTTCTTAAACATGACAATGAGTTCACTGTACTCAAATGTCCTCCAAGGTCATTAGAACTCAATCCAATAGAACACTTTTGGGATGTGGTGAAATGGTAGATTCACATCATGGATGTGCAGCCGACAAATCTGCAGCAACTGCGTGACACTATCATGTCAATATGGACCAAAATCTCTGAGGAATATTTCCAGTACCTTGCTGAATCAATGCCATAAAGGATTAGGGCAGTTCTGAAGGCAAACCAGGCACTAGTAAGGTGTCCCTACTAAATTGGCCGGTGACTGTATGCTAAACAGATGCCTATTGGTGAAACCCGGGTATTACATGTAATTTGATTGACTTCCTTCCTCACTTGTTTCCAAACAAACTTCCTTTTCTTCTTCAAGAAGCATAATTTGTTTTGTCTGGTTCAACTGGACAGTGCAATCATGATGGATTAATAAATTCCTAAACAAATAAACTGTCGAAAGTATATAGATTTATTCCAAATACACTACAATAAAAATAGCAACAGATCCAACTGTAAATATGGTACTAACACGTGTCTGTTCTTCCGCAGTGTTGGATGTGGCTAATGTGGGTTTTCTGAGTCAGTCGTGTGGATGCTTCCATCAATAACTGGGCCTCGAATTGTTAAGAGGTTTTACATAGCAATATGTATGAGAGACTGACTGAATTAACCCATATACACGTCCCATCCCAATCTTTCAAATCTCTCATCGTCCCATACTAGGAGACAGTAAGTGAACATGGAGATGTGCAGGTTTATGTAAGTGGGACTGAGAATTTTAATTGTACTATTTTAATAGTAAAAATGATAGCATAAGCATATGCTGGGAATGTTAAGAGAAAACAAGACAGGTGGAGAGATAAAGTTTTAAGGTTGTAAGAGTTCGTACATGATCACCATTCAGTCACTTCAGAATGGCATTTCAGTCACTTCAATTTCATTCATTTAAAAAATAATCATGAAGTATGAGTGCTATTATGATTTTAACATAAATGAGATGAAATGAACAGTATTATGTTGGTAAATTAAATGAAACGATCTTGTTATTATTGTTTTTGGCAAATATTCAATGATTAAATTTGCTAGCTCCCATTGCTACTCATAAGGTGCACAATTAATAATTGCAAGTTAATCCACTAAAAATTTTGTTCGGATTGGTAATCTTCAGTCTTTCAGTAGTGAAATTTAAACCACAGTGAACTGAACTAACCTGAACTTAATTTCTGAAAACTGGACTGACACAGTTTCAATTTATTAGAACTTTTATGTTAAGCTGCTTTGACAATCTACATTGTAAAAGCGCTAAATGAATTAACATGAATTGAATTTAATGAATTGAATTGAATAATCTTCAATCAACTATTTTGCTTTAAGGTTTAAAATCCTTAACTTGATTTTACCAAGTAGGACATGTTCAACATCTATGTTGATCCTGAAAAAACATTTCAATCAGCCAATCAGAATTAAGGGATATGTTTACAGTTTATGTTAAGTTTAAACTTATGGTCATGCACTTTTACATGATTGTTATCCAACTATTATTCCCCTCTGATTTAGGGAATAATTTACAATTATGGTTGGGTTTAGGAGTAGGTAATGGGTTAGAATTACATTTTCCAACAAAAAATTATGTTCCAGGATCAACATAGAATCCAGGATCGCATCACACTTGGCAAAAGCATGACGTGCGTTCAAAATGGTGGAACTTTTGTGATGATGTCACTTTGACAGCTTCAGTCACAATATTTTTAACCAGACCCCTCTGACTGTTAGTTTGCTAATAGAGAATGATGGACAAAAAGAATTCCGAGCCCCTACTAAATATTCAGTTTCAGTTGGAAGGACATCAGCAAACTGAAATAAGTCTCAGCCATTTCTGCAATATTAATAATGCCAAAAAAACTTTCAACAATTAGTTTTAATTTAAATGTGTGCTTTTTCAAAAATCCGCTTTGGCTGCGTCAGATAAACAGCACAGTGACAGACATGAAGGAAGCAGATCTCACGTAACATTTTTGAGAAATACTACAGTAAAAAAATTTCCCAATTATTATTTGATGTATTTGTTGTTGAGTTTATTCAAGCCTTTCTGCAACCATGAGTCACACAAAATGTCGTTACAAAGTTCACGTTTCCACACATACACAGCGCTCACATTTAACTTTGACTGTTTTTGCGTGCAAATGTGACAGGATACGGTTTAATATCCACTGCTGTATGGATATCTGTTATGTTAATGTACAAAATAAACCTGATTTAACGTCCACAAACTGAGATTGAAGTGTATTCTTTTATATCTGTACTGACATGCGGCTGTGATGATGAAGTAAAGATGGTAAAATCGCTGTAATTCATTACAAACATGCACTGATTTAAAAACGTTTTAAACTTGTAAAACTCATTCTTGATCCCATTTGATAAGGATTGATGATCACAGCGAGCTGAACGGATATTTTAATCCTATAGTTTCTTTATGCACTTCCTGTTATGTTGATA